TAATTAGCAGAAGAAACAGGAAGAAAAATATAACCACACTAAACAAATATGGTAATAAATAAAGACATATCAATAATCACCTTAAATGTAAGTGGATTGAATGCATCGAAAAAATAGACACAGAGTAGCTGACTGGATAAGAAAGCATGACTCATATATATGTTGTTTACAAGAGACCCACCTCACAACAAAAGACTCACATAGGTTGAAAGTGAAGGGATGAAAAAAAAATTTTCCAAACAAATGGAAAGGGAAAAAAAGCTGGGGTAGCAATACTCATATCTGAAAAAATAAAGTTCAAAATGAAGGCCATAACTAGAGACAAAGAAGGCCACTACATAATATTGAAAAGATCTATCCAACAGGAAGCTATAACCTTGGTAAACATATATGCACCCAATAGAGGAGCACCAAAATATATTAAAACTCTTCTGGAGAACTTCAATGGAGAAACTGACAGCAATACAATCATAGCAGGGGATTTCATCATCCTGCTGACATTACTGGATAGATCCTCTAGACAAAAAAATTAAGAAGGAAACAGAGACTCTAAATGATGCACTAGACCAAATGGATTTAATAGATATCTACAGAGAATTATACCCCTAAACTGCAGAATTCACATTCTTCTCAAGTACACATGGGACATTCTCAAAGATAGACCAAATGTTAGGACACAAACTAAGTCTCTACAAGTTCAAGAAGACTGAAATCATATCAAGCATCTTCTCAGATCACAATGGCATGAAACTAGAAATCAATTGCAACAAGAACATGCAAAGACATTTGAACACATGGAGGCCAAATAGCATGCTATCAAACAATAAACGGGTTACCAAGGAGATCAAGAAAGAAATTAAAATCTTCCTGGAAACCAATGAAAATGAACACACAACACAAAATCTGTGGGATGCAGCGAAAGCAGTTCTGAGAGGGAAGTTCATAGCATTACAGGCCTACCTCGAGAAACAAAAAAAAAATTTCTAATAGATTATCTAACCTCACAACTTAAAGAACTAGAAAGCAAACAAACAAAACTCAAAGCAAGTAGAAGGAGGAAAATAGTAAAGATCAGAGCAGAAATAAATGACATAGAAACCAAAAAAACAATTCAAAGGACCAATGAAACAAAGAGCTGGTTCTTCGAAAAGATAAACAAGATTGATGGGCCCTTAGCTAGACTCACCAAGAAACAAAGAGAGAGAACCCAAATACACAAAATAAGAAATGAAAGAGGAGAAGTAACAACTGACAACACAGAAATACAAAGGATCGTTACAAAATACTATGAACAATTATACGGCAACAAATTGGACAATCTAAGCAAAATGGACAAATTTCTAGAAATACATAGCCTCCCAAAACTGGACCAGAAAGAGAGAGAAAACTTGAACAGACCAATAACAACTAAGGAAATTGAAGAGGTAATCAAGACTCTCCCAGCAAACCAAAGCCCAGGTCTGGATGGCTTCACAGAGGAGTTTTACCAAACATTCAAAGAACTAATACCCATTCTCCTCAAATTATTCCAATAATTCAAAAACAAGAAAGACTTCCAAACTCATTTTATGAGGCCAGCATAATTCTAATTCAAAACCAGATAAAGAATTACAAAGAAAGAAAACTACAGGACAATATCCATGATGAACATAGACGCCAAAACCCTGACCAAAATACTAGCAAATCGGATCCAGCAATACATTAAAAAAATTATTCACCATGACCAAGTAGGATTCATCCCAGGGATACAAGGCTAGTACGATATTCACAAATCAATAAATGTGATACACCACATAAACAAAATGAAAGTTAAAAACCATATGATCATATCAATAGATGCTGAAAAAGCATTTGACAAAATCCAGCACCCATTTCTGATAAAAACACTCAGCAATGTGGGAATAGAGGGATCATATCTTAACATAATAAAGGCCATATATGAAAAACCTACAGATAACATCATACTCAATGGGCAGAAAATAAAAGCATTTTCCTTAAGAACAGGAACAAGACAGGGATGCCCACTTTCGCCACTCTTATTTAACATAGTACTGGAAGTCTTAGCCACAGTAATCAGACAGGAAGAAAAAATAAAAGGAATCCAACTTGGAAAGGAGGAAGTGAAACTGTCATTATTTGCAGATGACATGATATTATACATAGAAAACCCTAAAGACTCCATCAAAAATCTGCTAGATTTAATAAATGAATTTGGCAAGATAGCAGGACACAAAATATGGTGTTACCTCAAAAAATTAAAAATTGAATTGCCATTTGACCCATTGATCCCACTTCTAGGAATATATCCTAAGAAGCCTGAAATACCAATCAGAAAGAATATATGTTCATAGCAGCACTATTTACAATTGCTAATATCTGGAAACAGCCCCAGTGTTCATCAATAAATGAGTGGATAAAAAAGCTGTGGTACATATATATACAATGGAATACTATGCAGCTGTAAGAAAGATCTCTTATCCTTTGAGACAACATGAAGGGACCTGGAGAGTATCATGCTAAGTGAAATAAGCCAATCAGAGAAAGGCAAATACCACATGATCTCACTTATATGTGGAATATAATGAATAAGAAGGGCTGATAAACAAAACAGACCCAGAGGCATAGAAAGGAGTATGGTTCAGACAGACAAACATCAGAGTAGGGGGGTAGGGGGATGGATGAGATGAACCAAAGAACTTACCTGTATGTATGCATAACCAATGGACATAGACAACTATGCTACGGGGCTTGGGAGCGGGATGGGGAAGAGGGTGTCTAGGGGGGAAAAAGGAGAAACATCTGTAATAAAAATAAATTAATAAAAATTGAAGAAAAAAAAAAAAAGAATGATCCAAAAAAAAAAAACCTGATAAACTAGACTTCACTATAATAAAAAACTCTGCTCTTTGAGACACGCTGTAACGTTGTAAAAAGCCAAGCCACAGACTGGGAGAAAATATTTTCAAATCAAATATATATAAAGGGTTTGTATTCAGAATATGTTTTTAAATTTCTCTAAACTCAATAAGAAAACAAATCCAGATTAAAAATCAGCAAAAGAGCCCTAGCTGATTTGGCTCAGTGGCTAGAGAATCAGCCTGCAGACCAAAGAGTCCTGGGTTTGATTCTGGCCAAAGGCATGTACCTCAGTTGCAGATCATTCCCAACCCCAGTTGGGGTCGTGTGGGTGGCAACCAATTGATGTGTCACTCTCACATTATTGTTTCTCTTTCTCTCTCCCTCCTACTCATTGAAGATAAATGTAAAAATATCCTTGGGTGAGGATAAATAAATAAAGTGATAAATCACTGTCGATTTAAAAAAAAAAATCAGCTAAAGATTTGAACAGACATTTCACAAAAGAAGATACACAGAAAATAAGTTCATGGAAAAGATGTTCAACATCATTGGAATTAGAGAAATATTCAAATTAAATACAATGAGATACTACTTTACACCTATTAGAATGTCTATTGATGGATCCTTAAGAACCGGAGGACACCCAAGGAGGCGTTTTCTGTGTGGATTTGCCAGCGAGTCATACAGGTCAAGGTACTGCAAACAGTTCCTGAAACAACTTCTTGGAATTGTGTCAAAGGTTCATGAGGTCCATTGTGTTTCTACTATAGAGGAAACAAACCCTAAAAGTTAAAGGTTAGATATTAACATAGAGTTAATTACTGCTTACCAAGCATTGTTTGTACTTGTAGTTAAAGGTTAGGTATTAACATAGAGTTAGCCACTGCTTGCCATGCATTGCTTGTACTCATGTAGCTACCCTCATGCTCTTCAAATAGAATCGTTAAACATTGTAATAAAAGCCATGATGATCATGAAATCACTACTACATGCCAGAGAGAGCTGTAGCCCTCCGTTCATCTTGAATACATCTTGCCTGCTGATGCTTTCTTCACGTCTGCAATCATTTTGAATACAACAGTCTATAATTAAGAATTATATTAGAGCCTTGGCCAGTTTTGCTCAGTGGTTAGAGCATCATCCCATGAACCAAAGAATCTCGGGTTCAATTCTGGTCAAGGGCACGTACCTTGGTTGTGGATCGGTCCCTGGCCTTGATCGGGGTCATGCGGGAGGCAACCAATCAATGTGTTTCTCACATTGATGTTTCTCTTTCTCTCTCTTTCTCTCCCCACCCCCTTCCTCCTTCTCTCACACTCTATCTAAAGATAAATGGAAAAATATCCTCAGGTGAGGATTTTTAAAATAAATAAATAAAATAAGAATAATATTAGAATGTCTGATCATAGCAATTTGGCAAGAAATGTGAAAGAAATAGAACTCTCATACACTACTGGTAGGAATATAAAAACTACTTTCAAAAACAATTTGGAAGTTTCTTACAAAGTTAAACATACATCTCTCATATGATTCAACCATACTACACCAAGATATTTACCCAAGATAAATGAAAGCATATGTCCATACATGGACTTATACATGATTGTTCATAAGCCCTTTTATATATAGTAGCCAAAACCTGGAAACAGCTCAAATATAAACATTTAGTTGATGTCAAACTATCAACAATTGAACAGATAAACAAACTGTGGTATATCCATATAATGGAACACCACTCAGCCATAACAATGAATAAATAATTGATACATACAACAACATGAAAGAATTTCATGTTGAGTGAAAATTATAATAGAAAACAGATTAGTGGTTGCCTAGAGATAGGAGAGAAAGGGTGGGGGAGAGAGGGAGTAAAAGGGATATGAGTAAACTTCTCTGGGGGTGATGAATATGTTCATTATCTCAATTACAATGATGGTTTCAGGGCATTGTATATGTCAAAACATCAAATTGTATACTTTAAACATGTCCAATTTATTGTATGTCCTTTATACCTAAATAGAGCTGTTGAAAATGTGTTTCAATGTATTTTTATAATTTACATATAAAAAATAGTTATAAGAGTGCTAAGAAAAAAGAGTAAGGCTTCAGTGCTTTTATACTCCTGGGTGGTTAATACTTACTGCATATGTATTAGTCCAATGTTTTACCACTTCTTGGGATCGAAGATGCATTTCTTTCTTTGCCTTTCTTTCTGCACGAAGGTATGCTGCTTTTCTTGTCATACCATCAAGGGTATCTCGAATCCTTTTCCACTCATTGTGTGGAATTATGGTGACCTGCTGGAGATCTACTTTGCTAGGTAGAAGAGGTGGATAAAGAACTTGATCTTCTTCAGAGTTCTTCATTTCTAATAAAGTTTAAGAAACCAATATTAAAAACTATCAATAAGAGTGTGTGATATTTTTTCTCAGACATTTCTATATTGGCATGATATCAAAATTGTTTCAAATAGTAATTTTATTCTTGTTATCTTGAGAACAGCTGGGATTAAATGGAAGAAATATAAGACCGCGAATCAGAAGTATTAGATCTGACTTCTTGTTTGGTCATTCCCTTACTGTGTAAATTTGGGCAAGTCATTTAATTTATTGAAGACTTGGTGTCAACATATTAAAGCTGAAAAAAATCCCAAACTGACTCCATAGTGTAGAGTGCTGGGACAGAGCACTAAATTAGCTGCAGCCACTCACCTTCAGATCCAGCAGAGGAGGGCAGACTGGACTGGAACTGTGTGAAGAGACTTGGGAGTTTGGAGAGCTGGGAGGGCACTGGGAGTTTTGTGCTGAATAACTCCCTCATAGGACAGAAGCCATCTTACTCAAAGAGCCCCTGGGAGAAGCAACAGCCCACCCCTCAGGAATTTAACACCATCTGGCTAGGCCAGATTAATGCAAATTGAGGCTCATTCACAGCCAGCAAGCACCAGCCCCAACCACTGGAAATCCTCTTACCATGAACGGATTTTTTCATTCAGGTCAGGGCTACAATCCAAGGATCATGAAGTAACTAAGACTACTAGCTTGAAGGCAAAAGCTAGAGGAAAACTAAACCTTTGATTGGCCTGCAAATCTACCCAGAAATGTAAGACTTGATAGTGGTGTTTAACATGGGTCCTACCACACTAATCCAAACCCAGGAGAGGAAGCCACAATCAGCAGAACACCAACACCCACAGGAAAAATTTGGCAGGCTCCAAAACCCACTGAACAGCCATAACAGTGAAACAAAGAAACAAATCCTAAATGAAAGAAGAAGATGAGATAAATGAAATTCAGTTAAACAAGTTATCAGAGGTAGAGTTCAGAGTAATGATAATGAGGAAGCTCAACAACATGCATAAAGATATAGAAACATTGAAAATCAACCAATTGGAAATGAAAAACTACCAAGCAGAAATGAAGAATGACATACCAGAAATAAAGAACACATGGGAAGGAATAACCAGCAGAGCAGAGGAAGCTGAGGATCAGAGCAGTGAATTAGAAGACAGGGTAGAAAAAAAATCACCCAATTAGAGAACCAAAAAGAAAAAACAATTAAAAAACAGGAAGAGAGCCCTGGCCAGTTTGGCTCAGCGGTGGTCCAGAGACCCGGGTTCAGTTCCTGCTAAGGGAGCCTACCTCAGTTGCAGTTTGTCCCTGGCCCTGGTTAGTCGTATGGGTGGCAGCCACTGGATGTGTCCCTTTCTCGTCGATGTTTCTCTCTCTCTCTCTCTCTCTCTCTCTCTCTCTCTCTCTTTCCCTCCCACTCTATCTGAACAAAAAAAAAAATGGAAAAAAAGAAAAACAAAAACAGGAAGACAGTTTAAGAGAATTGTGGGACAATATGAAACATAACAACAGGGAATCAAACCAGCAACCTGCTGATGTTGGGGTCAATGGGGTCAACCACTGAGCCACACCAGCCAGGCTAAATTTTTATTTATTTTGTGGCTTAAACAAGTTTATTTATTTATTTGTGGCTTAAACAAGTTTATTTTTTACAGTTCTGAAGGCTAAGAAATCTGAATTCAGAATGAAAACATGGTTGGGTTCTAGGGCTCTTTTTCTGGTTTATAGACAGCCACCTTCTCATTGTATCTTCACACAGACTGAGCTCTCTGATCACTTATCAGTGTACTTTCCTTTTAATCTGAAGGACTCATTTTACTATTTCTTGTAGGGCAGTTCCCATAGCAATAAATTTGCTCTTTTTTTTTTTTTTTTTATTCCTCACCTGAGGATATTTTTCTACTTATTATCAGATAGAATGAGAGGGAGAGAGACAGAGAGAAACACTGATGTGATAGAGCCACATCCACTGGCTGCCTCCCACATGAACTGACCAGGGCTGGGGACAAACCACAACTGAGGTATGTGCCTTCGACTGAAACCAAACCCATGACTCATTGGTCCAAGGGCTGATGCTCTAACCACTGAGACAAACTGGTCAGGGCTGCTCAATTTTTGTTTACCTGAAAATACCTTAATTTCATAGAGAAAATAAGGTATTTATCATGATTATGAATATGTCAACCTGCTGCCTTCTAGCCTCTATAGTTTCTTATTAGAAATCAACTGTTAATCTCAGTGAGGCTCACTTATATCGATGAACAGTTTATCTTGTGCTACTTTCAAGATTTTTCTGTGTTTAGATTTTGACAGATTAATCATGATATATTGTCATTTGAGTTTACCATATTTAGAAGATCAATGAGCTTCCAGAATGTATAGATCATTTATTTTTAACCTTTTTCATTTCATGGCACACATAAACTCACTACTAAAATTTGTGCCACACCAAAAAACAAATATTTTTACCAATCTGACAAAAAAACAAAAATGGTATAATTTTCATTCATTCACACTGAATGAACATGTTGTATTGGCTGTTGTCATTTCTTTATGTGACAATCTAAGGGAAAAGAGGTCAGGGCCCCTGACTAAATAATCAGGTATTATATGTTTTAAAAATTCTTATAGCACACCAGTATGCCTCTTAGGACACACTGGTTGAAAATCTCTGGTGTAGCCCTGGCCAGTTTGGCTCAGTGGTTGAGCATCGGCCTGCGGACCAGAGACTCCTGGGTTCAGTTCCCACTAGGGGCACGTACCACCAAAAAAAAAAAAAGAAGAAGAAAGAAAGAAAGAAAGAAAGAAAGAAAGAAAGAAAGAAAGAAAGAAAGAAAGAAAGAAAGAAAGAAAGTCTCTGGTGTAGATTAATGTTTTTCATCAAATTTGGAAAGTTTTTGGTCATTATTCAAATATCCTCTCCTGCTAGGACTCAAATTATATGTACGTTGGCATACTTGTTTGTGTCTTATGTTTCTCTGAGGATATGCTTATTTTTATTCTTTTGTCTTTCTGTTCCTGACTGCATACTTTCAATTGACATCTTCAAGTTCACTGATTCTTTCTTCTATAAGCTCAAATTTGTTATTGAACCCTTCTAGTGAATTTTTCATTTCAATTATTGGGCTTTTTGACTCCAAAATATCTATTTAGTTCCTTTTTAAAATTATTTCTACCTCTTTATTGATATGCTTTATTTGGTAAGACAGAATTCTTTTTTTTTTTTTTAATCCTCACCAGAGGACATTTTTGCATTTATCTTTGGACAGAGCAGAAGGGAGGGAGGAAGGAAGAGAGAAAGAGAAACATCGATGTAAGAGAGACACATCGAGTGGTTGCCACCCACATGGCCCCAACTGGGGCCAGGGACAAACTGCAACCGAGGTACGTGCCCTTAGTGGGAACTGAACCTGAGACTCTCTGGTCCGTGAGTTGATGCTCTAACCACTGAGCAAAACTGGCCAGGGTGAGACAGAATTCTTAATACTTTTCTATAATTCCTTTGACATTCTTTTAGTTCTTTGAAGTTACTTACAATAGTTGTAAATTAACAAAAGTTAATTGATTAGTACATTTAACATCTTGGCTTCCTCAGGGATAGTTTCTATTAAAACTTTTTTCTGCACTGGCCGGTTTGACTCAGCGGTTAGAGCGTCGGCCTGCGGTCCAGAGAGACCTGGGTTCGGTTCCCGCTAAGGGCATGTACCTCGGTTGCAATTTGTCCCTGGTCCTGGCTGGGTCATGTGGGTGGCAACCACTCAATGTGTCCTTTTCACATTGATGTTTCTCTCTCTCTCTCTCTCTCTCTCTCTCTCTCTCTCTCTTCCTCTCTCTCCCTCCTACTCTATCTGAACATCCTCAGGTGAGGATAAAAAACAAACAAACAAACTTTTTTCCTGTGTTTGGGCCATACTTATTTCTTTGCATGCCCTCTCATTTTGTTGAAAACTGTACATTTTAAATATAATGTGGCAACTCTAGAAGTCAGAGTCTTTCCATACCCAGTATTTGTTATTGTTGCTGTTTGTTTAGATTTTCCTGAACTAAATCTATAAAGTCTGAATTCTTTGTTGTATATGGCTCTTGGAATTTCACTTGGTTAGCTTAGTTGTCAGCTAATGACTGGACAGAATTTTCTTAAACAAGTCTCTCGGCCTTTGCCAGGGAACTCTCTGTGAGTGGTAGAGAATGACTTCAGTGAGCAGGCAGGCAATTTACAACTCTGTGTTAGCCTGTACTTCTTTCCTGCATAGTGCTTCAAAGTCAGCCAGAGATGAAAGCTTCAGGTCTTTTCTGGGCATGTACACAGTCCTATAAATGTATTTGACTTTCTGGACTCCCAGAAATATGTAGGGAACTGTTATCATTGCCTCGGGCAACTGTGATATTTAAAAAATGGTGAGCTCTGAGTCAGGTAAAATAAAAATAAGCCTTGCAAGTGGGCTTTTGCAGGGAACTACCAGACAGGTCAAATAACAACAGTTTCTGGGAAATGGGCTTTGAAGGTGACCCAACCCTATTCTGCTCTCTCCACAGGATGCTAAGCCACTGGATTTTACTGTGATTGCAGTAGTTTTTTTGTTTTTGTTTTTTTAAAGCTGGGAGACAAATATGGGACTAGAGCAAGTTAAAATGCAAAAACTCACTGCTGTTACCAAGATTCAGCTATTTTTCTTGTTTTTTTTTACAAATATTTTTTTATTTATTTTTAAAGGGAGAGAAAAATATCAATGTGAGAAAGAAACACTGATCAGCAGCCTCCTGCATGTCCCCTACTGGGGATGAAGCCCACAACCTAGGCAATATGATCAACTGGGAATCTAACAAATCACAACCAACTGAGCCACACAGGCCAGGGCTCATCCATTTTTTTTTTTTTTTTTAATCCTCACCCGAGGACATTTGTGCATTTTTATCTTGAGAGAGAGAGAGAGAGAGAAAGAGATACAGAGAAAATCGACATGAGAGAGACACATTCAGCAACTGCCACCCACACGACCCCAACCGGGGACAAACTGCAACTGAGGCATGTGCCCTGACTAGGAACCGAACCCTGGCCTCTCTGGTCCGCAGGCCGATGCTCTAACCACTTAGCAAACCAGCCAGGGCTCATCTATTTTTCTTGATAAAAATTCCCCAATTGTTGCAAGCCTTCAGCTAATTTTCTGAGTTTTCAAAACGTTGACTCTGACTATTTTTGCAGTGTTCTTTTTGATTTGATGGAGGAGAGGATTTTCAGAGATCCACTCTGGCTGATAGCACCCCACTAAGTCTTTATATAATCATTTGTTTTACAGATAGCTGTCTACATATCTGAAACCTCTCCTACTACACTCTTTCAAATGGAGATTACAATTTAGCAGTGGGGTTCAGATGGAAACTCTTGGACCAATGCTACAAAACACCTATAAGGTAAATCGAAGTATTTTAGTGCAGTACTGCATATATAGGAAAGTGAATACGTTGGAGTAACAGTGTTTTTTCAGTACATGTCACATGGGTACTGTCTCTCTTCTACATATCATGACCCTCTGTTGCTATGTCAAAAGTCCTCCACTGCATAAATACCCAGCAGTGGAGAATGGCTGGCTCTCACTCTGCATCTGACACAAGGGTCTCTTCTTTTGTTACAGAAGCTCAGGCATTGACATGAAGATAGTTCAAATTCCCAAGGTTGTAGTTGTTACCATGACAATAATTGGGAATTTACAGATTTAAGAAACTAAAATAGTTGTAAGTGATAAAGAGCTCTTTAGATGTCCCATTAGGCTACTTCTATTCCAAAATCTAAATTTTTAAACAATAGGTCATGAAGCCCTACCTTCACTTCAATAGGTCCAACCAAGACTCTAATGAGGCTACTGATATTTCCAAAAGATTTTCCAAATCACTCAATGAATAACAAAGTTTTTTTTCTCTGACCTTTGAATTTTATTTTATTTATTTTATTTTTCTCAAATCTTTATTGTTGGATGTAAAATGTATTACAGATGTTCCACATTTTTCCCCCACTGACCCCCTCCTCCCCACTCCCGCCCCCCTCCCACCTTTTCCCACACTATTGTCTGTGTCCATTGGTTATGAATAACAAAGTTTAAGCGCAAGAAAATTCAGCAAACTCCAGACTCTTGGAGCTGCGACCGCTCAGATCAATTGAGTCAGCCTACTTATTTTTTTTCCACCTCTATTTATGTAAATTTTCCCACCTACTAATTCGCCTGAGGGCAAAACGGTCTAATTTACATAGAACCTAACGCTGCTTCCGACTTGGTAGAGTCCACTTCATCAGGACTAGTCACCCTCACTTGCCGCCCTCGCCTGTCCCCCAATGCCTAGGGGTCAGAAACAATCCCCATGCCGGTATGGGCCAGTTTAGCTCACCCGTGCTTCCCTTCGCTAGTCCACGGCGTCTGCCGACCAGCACCGGCATCTCTGACAAGATGCGCCGAGCGCTGTGAGACTAGGAAAGGCAACTCAGAGGCGGAGCTGGCAGCCTCCAGGCAGCGGAGTGTTTGGTACGCCGAGCAGTTGCTTAGCAACGCCGCCGGAAGTGACGGTAGCTGCCTCCGAGGAACGGAGAACGCGCAGCTGTCGGCTGCGGGGCTGGAGAACACGGGCTGCGCCTGCGCGGGAAGCGGAGGCTGGTGTTAGAGTGGGACGTCCCCGCGGACCGGCGCCGTGACACTCCGCGGGAGCAGGGCGGAGGCGCGGGAGGCTGCCGACTCCTGGCTGGGCCAGTGAGGAGATCTGGGGACCCGGCCCGGCCTGGTGCTCCCATCCTCATCCCTCACGTGCCTCACGCGGGACGACCCCAACTAGGTCCCTGCGCCTACCTTCCGGGCGGACCCGGCAGGTGTGTGGAAGAGCGGGGCCTAGGCTGGGTGTGTGGTGGAAGGGGAAGGGCGAAGCTCACCCTTAGCTATGGGAACCCAGGGATTAATTGACAGGAAATAGATTTTTAAATACTTTAGTTTTTAAGGCATGATCCGGGCTAGACAGGTCTTAGTTTTTTAAACATAAGAATGTTAAAATTTGGATGTTGTCTCAGAACAACATATTAGGACCCTTAATATATTCTAAATTGCTTGGTAAATACAATAAATTGGATTTATTTGGAGGACCAATCAGACCTCTAAAATCACCAAAATCTGTTAAGAGTGGATGCAGAATTGGTTTCAAAAGATACTTTTCTAACACATGGAGGTGCAAATGATTTCATTATAAGCAAATTGGCTGCAGTACATACTCATTAGGCACCAAATTGGAGTCCAAATGGAAGGAGGTAACATTTTTAATTACTAAAGTTCTAACACATAGTTGTACTATTTTTCTTCAGGTTTTCTATCTGGTGTTCCACCATAATGCTGGTAAGTATGAAAGGATTGATACAATTTTTGTTGACAAAAATTATTTTTTTTACATACAATATGGGTGGGGTTTTATTTTTGTTTGCTTTGGAAACACAGTTTTTAAAATGTCAAGAATTGGGGACAAGATTTTACCCTACTTGCATGCCCACAATTTAGCCTGCCACAGCTTTGTAGAAGATGCAGACCCCTGGGTGAGATAAATTACAGCAGTAGCAGTAGTCAGAATAGCAACAATTATACCCCAGTCTCCACTGTCAGAAGTCAACTGCACATGGAGTTAGACTAAGGAACCCAAATCTTTATTATAATAAACAATAAGCATTTCAAGGCTACATATCTTATTTAAGCAGTCCCCAATTCTTGGATGTCTCTGTAATTTCTAGTTTCCGTTATTTTTATTTATTTTTTAATCCTCACCTGAGGACATTTTTGCATATATCTTCAGATAGAGCTGGAGGGAGAGAGGGAGGAAGAGAGAGAGAAACTTTGATGTGAGAGAGACACATCAAGTGGTTGCCACCCACATGACCTTAACCGGGGTCTGGACAAACTGCAACTGAGATACATGCTCTTAGCTGGAACCCAACCTGGAACTCTCTGGTCCATGGGCTGATGCTCTAACTGCTGAGCAAAACCAGCCAGGGCTATTTTTTTTTTTTTTTTTAATTTTTTCCTTTATTGATTTTAGAGAGAGAGGAAGAGAGAGAAACATCAATGAGAGAGAACATCAATTGGCTGCCTCCTGCATGCTCCCCCCCCCCCCCCCCACAACTGGAGATCAGGCCCACAACCTGGGCATGTGTCCTGACTGGGAATCGAACCGGTGACCTCTTGGCGCATGGGTCAGTGCTCAACCACTGAGCCACACTGGCTGGACCATTATTTTATATATATATACATATACATATATTTTTTATCCTCACCAGAGGACATTTTTGCATTTATCTTCAGATAGAGCAGGAGGGAGTAAGGGAGGAGGAGAGAGAAACATCAATGTGAGAGAGACACATCGAGTGGTTGCCACCTACACAACCCCAACCGAGGCCAGGGACAAACTGCAACCGAGGTACATGCTCTTAGCGGAACCGAACCCGGGACTCTCTGGTCTGCGGGCTGACACTCTAACCGCTAAGCCAAACTGGCCAGGTGTGGACCATTATTTTTGAAAGCATGTAGGTTATTGTTAGACTATGGAAACACTGCAGATATACAAAATATATACTACTGCTGCTTTTGGAGAGAAAGTTAATTATTTCGGAATTTTAACAAATTGGTTTCAAATAGATTCGCATTCTTAAAACTAAATCTTTGTACACATCCCTAATTTTTTCAGACTTTTATTTAAAGTACTCTAAATCTTTCACTATTTATTGACAACAGAATGTTGTATTTGTCTATTAAGAAGTAAAAAGAAAAAATGGAATTTGTAATTCTCAACATAATCAGTCTAACACTCGTGATTTTATCCACCAGATGAAAACTTATGTTTATGTAACATTCCTTGTTTTGTATTTAAGGTTTTTGTTTAATCAACATTTTGTTTTTCCCAGCCTGGCCGGTTTGGCTCAGTGGTTGGAGCATCGGCCTGCGGACCAGAGAGTCCCGGGTTCGGTTCCTGCTATTGATTACATTGTTTCTAATGGAAATTTTATTCTGCACTTAAATCTCTGATAGCCAGTCAGAGACCTGGATTAGGCACTCAGATATACAAGGATACAGAGTCTCAGGATATTACAGGGTGGGGCAAAAGTAGATTTACACAGTTTATTCTGGTATTATTATCTATTAATTATTGTATTATTTTCCATACAAACAACTGTAAATCTGCTTTTGCCCCACCCTGTATATATCTAAATTCACACAACAGGAAATACCCCTCTAGATTAGTTATTCTTCAGATTTTCTAAATTGAGAGACACTGAGAGTGATGAGCTCTACTCTCGGTTTCACCTACTGGCTATCTATTGTTATAAACCAGAGAATACATGTGGTTAAATGCCCTGTTTTTCTTTCTTTCTTTCTTTTTCTTTTTTTTGCATTTATCTTCAGGCAGAGCGGGAGGGAGAGAGGGAGGAAAAGAGAGAGAGAGATAAACATCGATATGAGAGAGACACATCGACTGGTTGCCACCCACATGACCTCAACTGGTGCCGGGGACAAACTGCAACCGAGGTACGTGCCCTTAGTGGGAACCAAACCTGGGACTCTGGTCCGCGGGCCGATGCTCTAACTGCTGAGCCAAACCAGCCAGGGCTAATTATTTATATTTTTTACATGATAATTTTCGTCCATACCATCTGTTGACCAATTCTTTCCTTTTCTCTTGAGACTTATAATTAATGACCTTCATTATCTTTTATTTTTATTTATTTTTAAATATGTTTTCATTAATTTTAGAGAGAGAGGAAGAGAAAGAGAGAAACATGAGTTGAGAGAGAAATATGGATCGTTTGCCTCCAGCACGCACCCGAACCGGAAATCAAACTGGTGACTTTTCAGTGCACTGGACAGTGCTCAACCAACTGAGCCACACCGGCCAGGGTGACCTTCATTATCTTTTATTTATTTATTTTAAATCCTCACCCAAGGATATTTTTCTATTTATCTTCAGACAGAGTGGGAGGGGGAGAGAGGGAGAGAGAGAGAAACATCAATGTGAGAGGGACCCATCGACCAGTTGCCTCCTGCATGACCCTGACCAGGGCTGGGGACAAACCACAACCAAGGTACTGTGCCCTTTGTCAGAATCAAACCCGCGACTCATTGGTCTGTAGGCCAACACTCTACCTCTAGCCAAACTGGCCTGGGCATCTTCATTATCTTTTTTTCTATTTTTTATCCTTACCCGAGGACATGTTTCCATTTTTTGTTCAGATAGTAGAGCTGGAGGGAGAGAGAGAAAGAGAGAGAGAAACATCAACGTGAAAGGGACACATCGAGTGGCTGCCTCCCACACGACCCAACCAGGGCCAGGGACAAACTGCAACCGAGGTACGTGCCCTTAGCGGGAACTGAACCCAAGTCTCTCTGGACCGCAGGCCAACGCTCTAACCGCTGAGCCAAACTGGCCAGGACATCTTCATTATCTTTTAAAGTTAAAAGATTTAAGTAACTGTCATATCATAAGTAGTGTGATTACTCAATTATATCCAGATTATTTGGCATTCTAGAGTTAAACTATTTAGAGAAAATATAAATAAACATAAAGTTCTAGCTGGCGTGGCTCAGTTGGTTGGAGTGTCGTCCCATACACCAAAAGTCATGGGTTCAATTTCTGGTAGGGTTCATACCTAGGTTGGGGGTTTGATCCCTGGACAGGGTGCATATAGGAGGCAGTTGATGTTTCCCTCTCACATTGATGTTTCTTTCTCTCTCTCTCTGCCTCTCGCTTCCTTCCCCTCTCTCTGGGGAAAAAAAAACACATAAAAATTGTTAACAAAAGTTAAAGATATTTAAAGTTTGCAAGATTTCATGTTATTTTAAATTTGGTCTGAATTTTGGTTAGTACACAGAGACCTGTTTAATATGAAGATTATTGTAAATATTTTAAACTAATAAGTTTGGCTATGGTGATAAAAACAATAAGAATGATTAGCATACATTTTTTTTCTGTATTATTTAAAAACTTTTCTAAATTAGACTGTAAGAGACTAATTGTTTCATTACTTCTCTCAGTAGCTTAATTCAGAATGCTCAAGGAATAATCCCCACAGGAACACAATAATACTATGAATATCCTTTTTAGATATTCTGTTTTCCATTCACTTAAAATACTCAAATCTGAACTTTGCTTCTTAGGAAAGATTACTTAAATGGTGGTACTAAAATGCTTAGTTATTTTAATTTGTTTATATTCACCTTATGTTTTAGCAGATTAACACTCAGTAATATTTGTTAAATAGTAGTGAGATATGAAAACAGAGTGTTTAAGGAATAATATTTCTTCTTTTTCAGGGTAACCCAAATCTGTTTTAGAACCATGAAAATTTTGCTGGTTTTTGACTTTGACAATACAATCATAGATGACAATAGTGACACCTGGATTGTACAGTGTGCTCCAGAGAAAAAGCTTCCTATTGAACTACAAGATTCTTATGAAAAAGGATTTTGGACAGAATTTATGAGCAGAGTCTTTAAGTATTTGGGAGATGAAGGTGTAAGAGAAGATGAGATGAAAAGAACAATGATATCAATGCCTTTCACTCCAGGGATGGTGGAACTTTTAAACTTTATAAGAAAGAACAAGGATAAATTTGATTGCATCATTATTTCAGATTCAAATTCAGTCTTCATAGATTGGGTTTTAGAAGCTACCAATTTTCATGATGTGTTTGATAAAGTGTTTACAAATCCAGCAGCTTTTGATGGTAGTGGTCATCTCACTGTGGAAAATTATCATGCTCATTCTTGCAATAGGTGCCCCAAAAATCTTTGCAAAAATGTAGTTTTGGTAGAATTTGTAGATAAACAGTTAAAACAGGGAGTGAATTATACACAAATTGTTTATATAGGTGATGGTGGAAATGATCTTTGCCCAATAACCTTTTTAAAGAAAAATGATGTTGCCATGCCACGGAAAGGATATACTTTACAGAAAACTCTTTCCAGAATGTCTCAAAATCTTGAGCCTATGGAGTCTTGTGTTGTAGTTTGGTCTTCAGGTGTTGAAATAATTTCTCATTTACAATTTCTAATAAAGGAGTAATATTCCAACAATTGAAATGTGTATCAGTTAAGAATAGGTACAGCAGCATAAAACTAATACCCCAAATACCAGTGACTTAAAAGAAATTATTTTTCCTCTCACTTAAAAGAATTCCAAAGGTAAGTATCTCTCAAGGCTGCTGTGTTGCTCTACCAACTTCAGCACTCTGCTACCAACTCATGATACAAGATTGTTGTTCAAGCTCCAACCCTCACATCAACATTCTGGCCAGCAAGAAGGAAGGCAGTGAGTTGCACACTCATGTAAATTGCATTGGCCAAAACTTAGTCACAATGTTCCCATCTAATTGCAAGGAAGATTGAAAAATACAGCTTTTATTCCAGATGGTCATATGCCTGGAAAAAATTGGAAAGAAGAGGAGTACAGAATTAAAGTAAGTACAACTAGTAGTCTCTACCAAAGGTGGTTGATATATTGTTTGTTTGTTTTGTATTAATCCTCACCTGAGGATATTTTTTCCATTGATTTTTAGAAATGATGGAAGGGAGGGACGGAGGGAGGGAAGGAGAGAGAGATGTGAGAGAGACACATCTATTAGTTGCCCTGCATGTGCCCTGACTGCAGCCGGGGATCGAACCTGCAACCCTTTAGTCTGAGGGCCCACACTCTAACCACTGAACCAGACCAGCCAGGGCAGATTATACTGTTTTTAGTCTCAGAGAGAATAGTCATATATGTTTTTTTCTTAGATATTTCAATAACATGTCCAATAGTTACAGATCTTAAAAATAAGCCTGATGATTTATTCATGTAAGCCCCAAAATATATAGTGTTCTATTCCCAAATTAGTGTATTTTAAAGATAGGGATGCAGTGTCTGTTACCCAAGTTTTCATCAATTTCAAACTTTCCTTTCAAAATTAAATACAAATTAATGTTCCTCAAATATTTTAAATTTATATCAGTATCACAATTGTAACTCCAGTATACTGGTTTAATCAGTGTATTGTTTCTACTTGTGCAGTCTTGAGAGATATAATATGTTATCTGTAGGAATATTCAACAATTAAGATACTGTTTCATGTAAGGATAGTAACAAAATACCAAGTGATATAAAAGGTTTTATAATTTTATGCTAATTTCTAGGCTCATGTTTTAGGCATATATATTCATTATGCAATAATAATAGGATTATCTTTTCCATTATGGAAAGCTCCAGAAATAGAAATGCTTAATACAATTTAATGGGGAAAAAATAGTACTTAAAAATGTTTTTTTAGGTTGAGACAGTATATCTTTAAATTAATAGGTTAGATTATATTTAAACGCATTTACTCATATAGATTATCATTTCTCTACATGTCAAGGCCAGTAACAAATTACAAATTTTATATATATATATATATATATATATATATATATATATATTTTTTTTTTTTTTCCCTCACCCAAGAACATTTTTTGCACTTGTCTTCAGATAGAGCGGGAGGGGGAGAGGGAGGAAGAGAGAGAGAGAAACATTGATGTGCGAGAGACACATCGAGTGTTTGCCACCCACAAGACCTCAACCAGGGCCAGGGACAAACTGCAACCAAGGTACATCTCTGTAGTGGGAACCGAACCTAGGACTCTGGTCTGCGGGCCGATGCTCTAACCACTGAGTAAAACCAGCCAGGGCCAAAATACAAATTACTGAAGTACACACACACACACACACACACACACAAAAACATAAGACTTTCATTTATTGTATTGGTAGGCCAAGTAATTGGACCAGATATTCTAATGAGCACATCTAGAAAAGCTGACAGCTAAACACAATTTTTAAAATGTCTGTTTAAAGACATGAGAGAGCTGATAACAATGAACAATTTCTACCAAAGCACAGAAACCCACATAGGTGAGCTGCTTTTTTCTGGAATTATTGACTGATTCTGTAATTGGTGTCTGAGATGCTGAGTGGCTATCTTGACAATCTCATGGTACTGGGGGAAGAAGCCTGCAATAATTACACCTTTCCCCTTACTTGGAGTAAGAATCCCAAAAGGAGTAAGAATTGCCCATTAGGAATAAGAATGATCCAGAAATAAGCATACCTGCACAGGGATGGCAGCTCAGCTTTGAATATTCGCACTCCCTGAAATTGAGGTTATCTAAGATTTTTAGAGCTCCCAGGAGCTTAGAAGAAATAAATCTAAATTCTCTCAAAAGGATGCTAACGTCCTAGGTATGTGGACAGACTCTAACGTGGCCCCCCATGATCCCTGTATCCTGGTATGACTTATTTGTGTGTGGAAAGGGGGAAATATGCTTCTAATCAGTAGGACACCACAAAGATGATGGGATCTGTGTAATTATGTATACATGATTATATTATATTCTAATGCCCATCTTGTTGAACTCTCTTCCTTGTTGATTTTGAAGCAAGATGCCATGCTACAAACTGGCCTTTAGAGAGGGACACATTACAAACAACTGAGGGTGGCCTCTGGCCAACAGTAAGACGCAGGCCCTTGGTCCAGCAGTCTGTGCGAAACTAAATGCTGCAACCATGTGAGCTTGAAAGTGGATCTTTTCCCAGGGGAGCCTCAGCTGAGACCACAGTTCAGGCTGACACTTTGATTATAGCCTTGTGAGACCCGGAAACAGAGTCTCTAGCTGTGCTTGGACACCTCACCCACAGGACCTATGAGATGCTAAATATGTATTGTCTTAAGACATTAAGTTTGTGGTAATAGTGTTATGCAGCAATAGAAAATTAATGCAGTAAGCCTCAAAATAAATCTGTAAACAGTTTTGCAAGTACACTGTAGGATTCAATAAAAAGCCACACCAAGCCCTGGCCAGTTTGGCTCAGCGGTTAGAGTGTCAGCCTGCGGTCCAGAGAGACCTGGGTTTGGTTCCTGCTAAGGGCACGTGCCTCGGTTGTGGTTTGTCCCCGGCCCTGGTTGGTCGTGAGGGTGGCAGCCACTCGATGTGTCCCTTTCGCGTCAATGTTTCTCTCTCTCTCTCCCTCCCACTCTATCTGAACAAAAAATGGAAGGATGTCCTCGGGTGAGGATTAAAAGAAAAAAGCCACACCAAGAAACAATGAATACCAGCAGAAGCTTTCATGTGGGATATCCAGATATTAGAGTTTTCAGACAAACTAAACTTAGGAGAGTTTGGGGAAAGAATTGAATATTATATATTTTTTAAAATATGGAAATACTAGAACTGAATATTACCATGACTGAAATTAGAATCTAGATGAATGGATTTGACAACGCAACAGGCATAGCTGAAGAAGAGTTAGTGAATGAACACAAGTTAGAAGAAAATATCCAGAATGATGCAGAGAGACAAAATAATGAAAATATAGAAGAGACATAAAAGATACAGTAAGATCTAACATAGGAAATTAGTGTCCAGAAAGAAAGGAAAAAGAAAATAAGCAATATTTTAAAAGATAATGACTGAAAACTTCACAAAACTGATGTAAAACATCAAACTACAGATTCAAGATTCCTTATAAATCCTAAATAAGATAAAAAGAAAACCACATGAAATCACATTATAAAACTGCCGATAACCAAAGATGGTAAAAACCTAAAGCAGGCGGGAGGGGGGGCAGTGACATTGAAAGGAGCAACAATTAAACTAATAGCTGGTATTATTTCTTAAATGTTTGGTAGAATTCAATAGTGAAGCCATCTAGACCTGGAGTTCTCTTTGTTGGAAGGTTTTTAATTACTAATTCAATTTCTTTAATAGATATAGGACTATTCAGGTAGTGTAGTTTTTCTTGAGTAAGCTTTAGTAGTTATGTTGCTGCATAGTAAATCACCTCTAAATGTCACAGCTGAAAACTAAACATTAATTATCTCAGTTTCTGTAGGTCAGGATTTAGGAGCACTTTAGCTGGGTTCTGGCTCAGGATCTCAAGTCAAGATATGTGCTAGGCAGTAGTCATATGAAAGCTCGACTAGGGCTAGAGGATCTGTTTGCAAGATGGCTTACTGGCATGGCTTTTGGCAGGAGATCTCAGTTTCTCACTGCTTATTATCACAAAGTCTCTTTTATTGTTAGTTGTTGGAAGGAGGCCTCAATTTCCAACCTCATGGGTCTCTCCAAAGAGCTGCTTGTCCTAAAGACATGGTTTCCTGCCAAGAGAGCTGCTATCCTAGAGGGCAAAGAGGAAACTACCATGCCTTTTGTGACCTAGTCTCAGAAGTCACATACCATTACTTCTGCCATATTCTATTTGTTAAAAGAGCACTCAGTCAACCCCATACTCGAAGGGAGTGGAATTAGACTTTCTTTTTAAAGAGGGAGTCAAAGAATTTGTAGACATACTTGAAATCCACCATACTGTCTCAAGGACTTTGTTCATTTCATGTAAGTTGTGAAATTTATAGGCATAACATTTTTCATATTCCCTTAATAACCCTTTAATTTTGCAGTGAACACATGTATACCTACTATCTAGATTTTACCATTAGCATTTTATTGTGTGTTTTTTTTTCTTTATTTTTAGAGAGACAGAAAGGGAAAGGGAGAGAGAGAGAGAAACACCGATGAGAGAGAACATCAATTGGCCATCTCCTGTATTCCCCCCCACTGGGGATCGGGCCCACAACCCAGGCATAGGCCCTGAATGGGAGTCAAACCAGCAACCTCTTGGTGCATGGGTCAATGCTCAACCACTGAGCCACACCAGCTGGGCAACTGTGTGTGTGTGTTTGTTTTTTTATCATATGTCTTTTTTTCTTTTGCCTCTTTAACATAAGCATTGTTCTTTCCCTTTTCGTCTTTGTTCCCCAGTGGATCAAACTCAGTGTGTCTGGGTCTGATTGGAACTCAAATGTCTGCCACCTACATGTGAACTCTGGAAATTGTTTAATTTATAGTTTCTGGGATTCTTTACCCAGACTTAATGAGTTGCACCCTATGCTTGTGTGGCTTAGTATTCAACCACAGATTCAAGGAGAAATCTCCCCTTCCAGATTTCTGGAACTTTTTCTCAATTTAGCTCCTCCTTGTCTGGTACACTGCCCTGCAAATTCCAGCCA